GGAGAAGGCAGGGATTCGGACCACAAACCTTGCTCGGTGCCTGCACGCTCTGCCCTGGAGAAAAGAGAGGGGTGGGGACATGGGGCGCAGACCGGGTGGCCTCGCCCCGGTCTGGAGAGCCGACCCCAGCAGTGCCCTGCCTGCCTGGGGCCCTGACATGCACACACACGCCGTTAGCGCCCTGTGCTCGCTGGCGTACTGCTGTAGACAGCCAGCATTCTCGCAGGAGCACACACACGCTCATTCAAACGGAAAACACACGGGACTCTCCCTGTCTACGGATAATCATAACACCAGGTGCCCAGCCCCATGGCAGAGAGGGAGGGCACCAGAGGAGCGGGTGCTGGGAACAGAGGGAGGCAGTGTTTGGCTTAGTGGAGAGTGTGTGGAGGGGCGTGGAGCCAGGTGAGCCCAGAAAGGGGAAGACAGAACCTTGGGGAGGGCTTTGAATGCCCTTGTAGGCTTTGGGAGCCGCAGAAGGTTCCGGAAGAGAATAAGATGGGCATTGACCCTGTGGAAGAGTCTAGGGGGGAGGCAGGAAAGCAGGGAGTGGCCTATCTAGCCCTGGGCGTTGGTGGTATGTTCCCCACCCCAGGTGCCCAGTGTAGGTCAGCACAAGGCTCAGGAAACTGTTACTGAGTGACTCAATGGCCCAGGTAGGTGAGGTCCTAACTCACACCAGGACAGCGGGATGTCAGAAGTCACTGTGTGTAAAGTTGGTGGCTGTGGCAACTCATTGGCTGGAGAGGTCTAAGATGCTTGGGGGTGCTGGGGACTCAGTAGTACCATTGACCGAAAGAGAGAAAACATTTTAATGCGTCTGGTTCAGGATAAAGCATAAACGCATTCTGTTAACAATTTCTTGTGGGCATTACTGTTTTGCCTTTAAATAAAGACTGTTTCATAAAGAAAAAAAGAAAAAAGCATTGTATAGGCTGGTGAGAGACAGTCATGGAGAGGGTGGCATGGGGGTGACAACTACTCAGAGCAAATTTGCATCTGAGTAAAAGCATAAGTAAGTTTAAATGTCCCAGCATTGGTTTCTATTAAATCATCCCATAATTGAGAACAGAAAGGGAGGTTACAGAAGACACAACAGATGGCCAAATCTGTACCAGTTCACAAGCCACCCAGGCATTTTCCTTTCTGGTAAGTTTTCTCTGCCAGCTCTCAGGGTAGGAGTGGAGAGTGTAAGACTTCCCGCAGCTGCCCTGGAGAAGGCCCTCCACTCAGAGAGCATGCAGTATGTTTCCTTAAGGCAGCAATTTTCAACCCGTGTGCTGCAAGAACTTTTAAAACATGCAATACTTGACTATTTAGTCAAGAGCACTGACCTCTTTTCCCTTAGATTGTCAAATAAAAAAATGACAACAGGGGGAGGGGGAGGAGGGTATGGGGGGATGAATGGTGATGGAAGGAGGCTTAACTTGGGGTGGTGAACACACAATACAGTGTACAGATGTTGTGTTGTGGAATTGTGCACCTGAAGCCTGTATAATTTTGTTAACCAGTGTCACCCCAATAAATTTAATAAAAGAGAAAAAACGATGACAACAGCCAACGCAACAATAGCCTTCTGGTGTGAATGCCCTGTCTTGAACCATATTTTATATCATATAATAGAGTTACATCTTATTGATCACGACGCATAATAAGGTTGCGTCTGATTGGTTAGTTCTTGGTACCAGAAATCCTTATACAGTATATAAATATAGGCACCTGATTTTTTTTTTTAATTCTCATCCGAGGATATGTTTCTGTTGATTTTCGAGAGAGAGGAAGGGAGAGAGAGAGGGAGAAACATTGATGTGAGAAAGGAACATCCCATTGGTTGCCTCCCTTAAGCACCCCGATCAGGAGTCAAACGCACAGCTGGGTATGTGCCCTGACCAGAAATCGAACCCAGACCTTTTGGTGTAGGGGACAATGCTCCAACCAACTGAGCCACACTGGCCAGGGCTAGGCACCTGATTTTTTAAAAAGTAACTTTGGAACAAAAAGGGTAGGTAATTACTATTATTATTATTATTTGTAAACCAATCAAAATTATACCTAATTTTTTGTCAGATCAGCAAAAAATATATTTTTGGTATGCCACAGAATGTTAGTAATTAGTGCCATGAGATGAAAAAGGCTGAAAATCTGGCTTAAGAAATAAAGTCTCAGGTTCCTAAGCCAGTGAGTGTGGTTCAGGCCCCTGGCCTGGAAGACTTTGCTCTGTGGTTGGCTGAGAGCTTCTTCTCTGCAGAAGGCAGTGTGTTCTCGGTGGGAAAGAGCAGGACTTAGGTTTAGCTCACCTGATTGTGAGCCATGGCTCTGTCTTCAACCCCCTAGCCACTTCCCCTTGTCATACCTCAGTTTTCCTACCTGTAAAATGGAAAGAATAATGTCCCCCTTGCAGGGTTGTCATGAAGATCCAGTGAGATAATGAAAGTGTCTGGCACATACCACAGATTACATAAATGGTGGTCCCCTTCCTTCATCTGTTGCTGAAGCAGGGAGTAAAAAGCCTGTTCTCTTTCTCTTCCAGTAAGAGTGGAAACGGATGGAGAATCGAGCTCTGAACCCAGGGACTCGGGACTCCTATGGTGCCACCAACCACCTCCCCAACAAGGGGACCCTGGCAAAAGCCAAGAACAACTTCAAAGACCTGATGTCCAAGCTGACGGAGGGCCAGTATGTGCTCTGCCGGTGGACAGATGGACTGTATTACCTTGGGAAGATCAAGAGGGTAACCCTTTTCTCCCTGGCCCCTGTTCCCAGGCCCAGCATCCCTCTGCTCTTCCTATGGCCTAGGCCTCAGAGTGGTGATGGAGGACGGGGGGTTACTGGGAAATTCCCATCTTGTCCCTCATGCTCAAAAGCTGAACATGGACGGAGTTTTTTCAGGTGCCATCCTTAGAGCTAACATCACCCAACCAGTTCTTTAGAGAAGTGCTCTGTGAGTCTACGAAACAAAATGGAATCGGGTTGGAGAGGATCACAGACGACCATCTGGCTTGTTCTGTCCTCAGCATTCCCACCAGTTGTCCCTCGGTCCCTGACTGTACAACTCCAGTGGCTGGGTGTGCACTGCCTCCAGGAGCTGCCATCCACCTTCCCCTCTGGCCCACCTCTACTTTCTGGAGCACAAGGAGGGGGTCACATCATCCCTGTGCCCTGCGGGGACACAAATGGGAGAGGATGACCATGTTCCGAGGCTTCTCCTCAGCTACTTTCTCACATTTCCCCTCCCTCTCTGTGCCCCAGGTCAGCATTTCAAAGCAGAGCTGCCTTGTGACTTTTGAAGATAATTCCAAATACTGGGTTCTATGGAAGGACATACAGCATGGTGAGTATTCCTAAGGTTTCAGGTACCCCTGCACCACCCCACCCCCCATCCTCTCTCTTCCTCCACCTTTATTTATTTTCCTTCTCTCCTGTCTCTTACTCCTGGCATCTGACCTTGTCCATGAGCCCCTGAGCCCCACCTGAGACGCTGATCAGATTACCAGTTGTGTGTTTACATGGAAAGGCCCTTATGACATTTGTCATCCCCTTGTGTAGCCAGCCATTCCTCATGGGGGAGGCCAGCAGATGGAGAAAGTGGCTCGGGAGGTGCTGGGAGAAGGCGGGTCCCAGACCTGTGTCTGCCTCCTTGCTGCACTTCGTCTCCTGCTGCACAAAGCTCTGAGTCTCTCTGGATTTGGAACAGGGAGGGGCCCAGGCAATCAGAATTGCCACCTCTAGATGATCAGTGTCCCCTATCAACATGTGAAGAAAACTAGTGGAGGTAGCTCTAACCATGGGGGAAAGACCAAGAAAGCAGATGGGCCAGGCAGGGTGAAGATAGACATGCGCAGTGGAGCTGGACCAGCTTTCATGGTTGAAAGGGAGTTGGGTTGGGTACCATCCCTGCCCTCGGAGAGTTGACAGTCTTACAGAGATAGATGGCAAATCAGTGGCATTCTTGCCACCATTCTCCCTTCCCATGTACATGACAGACATCATTAATCAGTCACAACACTTGTATACTTTCAATATGGAGCTCCCAACAGACTTTTTGCCATTTATGCTCTAACAGGAGAATAGATGGGAGGGGGTAGGTTTTAGGGTCAGATATTCCTTGACAGAGGTCTAGCTCTGCCACTTACTAGCTGCATATCCTTGGGCAAGGGACATAACCTCTCTGATCCTCAGTCTCTTCATCTGAAAAAAGGGGATGGTAAAAGTACTGGCCTCACAGAGTGGTTAAATGAGATAATCCACATAAAATGCTTAGCCCAGAATTATGGGGGTGGGCAGTTTCTAAAGACCTTGTTACCATAAGAGAGAATTTCAAGGAGCCTGCCAAGTAGGGGCCACAGAACCCAGCCAATTAGTAGAGCTTCTAACTTGCCTTTTTCTCCAAAATGTTATGGCTCATGCAGACTGATTCTTCTCCAAGCCCCTCTCACCTCATTTTATTGTATAAAGATCCAAAGCAATAAGGACCTCCTCTGCTGGGTTACCCTCTTACTGAAAACACAGGGAGCCAGCTGGTGAGGAAAGACAGTTCACTTCAGCAGACCTTGAGTAGGAGGCCCACTGTGTGCCAGGCACCGTGGCGGTACCGCCCCACTCAGCTGGGCAGTCACTTGGCTCCCAGCCAGATACCTGCCCCTCACCAGCAGGATGGCAGCCCCTCTGGCTTCTCCCAAGGTGAGAGCACAAGGCTGAACACATCATAGTTATTGACCCATCACCTGATTAAGTCAGTGAGGACCTAAGGAGACCCACAGTGGGCACCACCTTCCTTGGGGCACATCCAGGAATGAGAGGCAAGAGAGCATTTACTCAACAGCCATGTCTTGAACACGTGTTATGTGCCACACACTGTATGAGCTCGAGGGGACACCTTGATGAACAGGTACCATTTCTGCTCTTACAAAACTTTCAGCCTGCTGGAAGCAATAAGACAGAAACATACGTCGACATGTATTTAATGTATTCACTCAGACCTTTCACACATAAACACGTTTCTCCTTCAAAAGAAACAAAAAAAGGGGGGGTGGAGATGGAGAGGGAACCAATAGTTTAAAAGCAACTAAACAAACTTAAAATTGTTATGACACTTATTTGAGATGATTGGACATGCGAATACTATCTGAAGTTGTTGATATAAAGGAATTATTTTCAATTTTTAGGTGCAATAAAGATGCTGAAGTTCTCAATTTTTTTAAAAGAGCATTTTAATCTTTCAGAGATACATACTGGACTTTATGGAAATGATTGGGTATCTGGGACTTGATGCAAGAAAATAGCGGGAAGTGGGTGGGAATATTGTCAAAACAAGATTGGCCATGAGTTCATAATTGTTAATGAGAACACAGTTAAATTATAGCATTCTATTGTTATCCCATAATAGAAATTTAAAAAATTACTTAACATAAAAAACTGCTTACTAAATCAAGTGAAATCAGGCAGGAGGAGGCAGCATGCTATGGTCAAAAGAACAAAGGATTCGATGTCAAACAGCTGGTTTCAATCCTATCTCTATTGCTTACTAGCAGAGCAAAGGACTTAACGTCTCTGAGCCTCAATTTCCCCATCTTTAGAATTAGGTAATGACAGAAGGCACCTCAGAGTCGTTGGGGAGAGTCAGTGAGTTAGCATCTGGGGCCCAGTGCAAGGCCCAGCACACAGAGGCTCAGCACCTGGATTATGATTTTAAAATTTCTAATTCAGGCCAGCCAGACCCCAGTGGGCCTCTCTTTCTTTCAGCTGGTGTTCCAGGGGAGGAGCCCAAGTGTAACATCTGCCTGGGGAAGACATCAGGGCCACTGAATGAGATCCTCATCTGTGGCAAGTGTGGCCTGGGTGAGTGTGATGGGCAGGCACCGTGAAGGCCCTGACCTGTGGTCCTACTCCTCCGCGCACACACTGGCCCCTGACAGGCAGGGCCTCAGCTGGCTTCCTGTTTCTCTTGGAGCTCCAGAGTGACAGGGGCCAGTCTCTTGGGAGAGAGGTCCCAGGGAGGTGACCCTTGGGGAGAGCTGGGGCTTCTGGAAGGTGAGACAGTTATGAAATTTGGAGCCCCCCTGGTTGGAGAGGATAGGTGGGAGAGCTGGGACAGAGGCTGAAGTCAGACCTTGGTGCTGCCCAGCACTGTGGCCCAGGCTGTCTTTTGGTTGCCTGCTTGGACACCCACTTGGCTTGCCTTGGTGAGAGCATGGCCAGCCAGTCCTCTGGCAGCTGGCAGGCACACAGCTCCTAGGCCTTGCTGTAGCCCTCTCCAGCCCAGCTGCCTTTGGGCTGACTGGCCTTGGGCCATGGCTGTTACCCTATGGGCACCCACCACCCTCCTCTGCCTAGGTTACCACCAGCAGTGCCACATTCCCATAGCAGGCAGTGCCGACCGGCCCCTGCTCACACCTTGGTTCTGCCGACGCTGCATCTTCGCGCTGGCTGTGCGGGTGAGCCTCCCCCCCACTCCCCCCATCCTCCCATCCTTCAAGCCCGTCTCTCCCTTCTCCAGTCGCAAAGCCCAGCGACTCTCTGGGCTCAGGCCTGACTCGGGGTCACAGAGCCAAGGCTTTGGAGGCAGACCGCGCCTCCTGCCACTTACCAGCCATATGTCCTTGGCCAGGTTCTTTACCCTTTCTGAGCCTCGGTTTCCTCACCTGTAAAATGGGTATGGGTTTGGTGTCAGTAGGAGGCCCCAAATAAATGGAGCCTTACTATTAAAAGAGAAAACCATGTATGTGCCGACACTGACTAGTTATTGTTACCTTTATTGTGCTTATTACTATTAATGGAGATCCTCTGGGAAAGAGAGAGGATGGATTTGGGATTGCTGAGAAAAAGCTCCTTCTGTGTGGCTGTATTGGAATCTCTGCGGGTCCCCCTAGTGGGCATTTCCCTTGTGGCCCAACCCGGACCCCTCATCTCCCGCAGAAAGGCGGCGCGGTGAAGAAGGGCGCCATCGCCAGGACGCTGCAGGCGGTGAAGATGGTGCTGTCCTACCAGCCCGAGGAGCTGGAGTGGGACTCTCCCCACCGCACCAACCAGCAGCAGTGCTACTGCT